CTAAACCGTACAGAGGAATGATCCGCCGAGTTATTTGTATCATCGGTGATTGAAGAAGATCGAGAAATTGAAGAATTCGAATTTGAAGTAATTGAAGTATCACAATAATAATGAAATGCATCGAGTTGATCTTGAGTTAAGGTAGGAGTCTGAGATGAAGAATTCATCCCACATGACAAATTGGACGACAAGTTGGACGGTAAGTTGGACGACAAGTTGGACGACAAGTTTGATGATAAGTTGGACGACAAGTTTGATGATAAATTTGACGACAAGTTTGATGATAAGTTGGATGATAAGTTGGATGACAAGTTGGATGATAAGTTGGATGACAAGTTGGATGATAAGTTGGATGACAAGTTAGACGACAAGTTGGAAGAGGGAATATTATTTGATAAATCATTTGATAAAAGATCGGATAAACCCCTGTTATCTAAATTGATATTATTGGACAATTCTGTATCAATAATATTTGTAGATTTCCTAGACTTTCTCAGATTAGACTTGGTATGAGTTTTACAATGGGCGGAAAAATTATCAGATCTTCCAAACTTTTTACCACATCCAGGGTAGTTGCAGGTATATTTACGTTCACCCGTATGGGTGATCATATGACGTTTTAGATGTTCCAAACGTTTAAAACTCCAAGTACAACCAGGCCAATCACATTTATGACGATTTCGAGATAAAGAAGACGAAGATAAGGGAGAAAAATGATTAGAAACACCATTAATGGAGAAAGCATTGGATTGAGGTTGATGAAGTTGAGAGGTAGTAGCAGCGACGGTTAGGTGAGAGTTATTATGAGGGATTGGCATCATATACAAGTGATTATGATTATTTAAAGCAGTTGACGAAGGAAATTGATGAGGAGTTGGAGCATGTAAGGAGAAAACGGGCATCATCCAATTGTTAATGATCGGCTTAGTATCTCGTGATTGAAACGAAGGATAAAAATGATATGCGCGATGGAAACGTGGAGGATCGATGGAATTTGCAGGCATCGATGATGTTGGAGTATTTATTTGATGATGTTTCGGTGTTGGAGCGATCAATCGTGGTTTAGATTCTTTCAATGATTGGTTATATCGAATAGATGGTATTGATAAAATTGATTTTTATCGTTAATCAAATAATGATTAAATGAATATAACGAAAAAACATATGATAAATGAATATAATCAATATAGGAATTTATGAAGGATTATTTATTCTTAATTAGAGAGAAGCAGAATTTCTTACCCATTATTAATATAGAAAGGTAAATCCTCTAAAAAAAGATAATTAAAATATTATGAAAATTGTTTTTTTTTTTCAGGAATAAGTTAGAACAAAAAAGAATCATATGCCATAAATGAATAAATAATAATAAAAAAAAAAAAAGGATTCTCATCTCTCACCTTGACTAATAGAGATAATCCGTGCAGGAGGTAGATATGAAAAAACACGGATCCAAAGGAGAAATTCCGTTACCTAATAAAAGGTGTGGATTCTCTCACAAGGAATGATAATTACAGTAACTTAAAATTATAAAAGAATAAAAAAATGCCTAAAGGACGATAAGAAAATTTTGAAAATTTTTTAAAGAGAAAAATCAAGAAAAGTAACGAGAAGAAGGAAGTGAAGGGAAACTCAGCAAGTTCGAGAAGTCTTTTATTTAAATGAAATTATTGTAATTTAACACCCACGAATGGAAAAAATAAAAAAATTTTTACACTTATTGATTGATTTAATCGATAAGAATATGCGAGAGGTAAAAAGTAGCGTGAGATATAAGTTTTATATTTGAAAAAAAAAGTTCATGCTTATTTTTAAGTGATCAATTGAGTGATTCTTTTGTGTCGTATCTAGCTCGCACATATACCAGTTTTACTCCGCCGCATGAATGAAACAATTTAACAATGGTTTTAGTTTAGTAAAAAAAAATAAAAAAAAGATAATTGAGTTTCTTAATAGCGTTTTAAAGCACAAGTTTCGGTAATTAAGTAAGTGGTGGTAACTGATTAAAATTTGATAGCGAATTAAAATTCATTCACGCTTCGTAAAATGACCCAATTGAAAAAATTGAAAAAAAAGTGAAGATCGATATGAATCAAATTAGAATTAAAATGAGAAAGGGGTGGGAATTATTACGTATTACATATTAGAAACGTATTATTGTTCATGTACGCAGGTATTTAGTTAATGTAGTTTTTTCTTATATTATCGTTATTATATTATCGTTATCATGCAAACTCCGTATATACGGGATATGCGGAATGTGCGAAATATACGGTATGGCTTTTTTTTTTTTTAACACCTTTTAACTTATTTGGTTCGTGTATCTTGTGAAAAAATATGGCACTATAATCCGAGTTTAAAATAGTAAATGTATAATTATAGCTTGTTAAAGTAAACTTGTATAATCCGTCGTAATTTGCGTAAGTGAATTCTGCGCAGTTATAGAACATATTCGGATAATTATTATAAGTATCCTACGTGTTTCTTTCAATACTTTCAATAACGATAAGGCGTAAAACCGCACTTTTGGTTTTCAATTGTGTAACACTTGAAAACTTGTAACTTCTTGAGAAAAACATGAAATTGTCACGTGAATTAGATCATTGCAACATTACATATACATAACAGTATATATACTTGACATTATTGTATATGTCATTAGAATTATTAATATTATTTGCATGTGATTAACCAACTATACTGTATGAGTTTTAATTAAAGATGTATCAAGTCATCTAAATAATTGATAATCAACCTTCAGAACACAAGTTTAATGACGACAAGATTTTGTGCACCACTCAAGTATGTATATAACCATGAACTGAGCATGATAAATACGTATACTTTTTATTACTCTGTAAAAACTAACTATACATATAATTAAACTCTGTATACTCTGTATATTCTGTATACTCTGTATACTCTGTATACTCTGTATACTCTGTATACTCTGTATACTCTGTATACTCTGTATACTAAGTGATTACACCTCAAAAGTATAATAGATCCTTTTATGTCTTTTTTCCTACCGCTGCCATCATACTGTAATATCAGTATATACTGTAATATCATATCTTATACGATCATACCGTAATATCGTACCGTAATATCATACCGTAGCATTTTATCGTAGTATACCGTAATATCGTACCGTAATATCATACTGTACTGTACGTTCACTCTTCACATTATTCACATTACTCACATTACTCACATTACTCACATTACGTATTATTCTATAACAAGCAAATGGTTCTGGAGAAAAAAAGGTTCGTTATATAACGTTACTACGTATGTTTCCTCGAGAACCTATTTCACTTTCTAAACGTATCGAATTAACAATAATTCTCGTTATAACTGATAAGGAGGTCTGTCATACATAGATAGTGAGTGAGTGTCGTAGATAGTACCTGTCGGCTGTAATAATTAATATTTAATTCCACTATTTCCTTAATATATGTATGTATTTTTACAACAATGGATGACATTTTTTGAAAAAATTTCAATTATTATTTATTAAAAAAATTAAATAAATGATCAAGTGCCTTCCCTGTATCGTATCCTGTATCGTATTTCTTCTTCTTTCTCCTTTCATCAGTTCAGCTCTTCACGAATTAATCAAAATCAACAAAATATTAATACTAGCATGTACGCGCCTGAATGGAAAAAAAAACTTTGTATTACAAGTTTCTTGTTTGGGATATACAGTGATACGTGCATCTGATATAAATAGGTAAGTATGTATGCGAATTTTCAACCGTACTCTCTTTTTTTTTCTCGTAGTTTTGCATACATACGTATATGTGCTAATTAATCTCTAATAATATCTCTAATAATTTATCATTATATTCAATGTTATATATTTTTTGATAATGGAAAAAGAAAACTCTCCAATTCCTCTTTCATTAACTCATAATGATAATAAAACAGATCCTTCTGTTTCTTCAATATTTGATACCTTACAAGGTGAAACTGCTTTAACAACTGATCAAATAATTTCAAATGATTCTTCTACTTCTCATGATTCAACGAATAAACAAAAGGAGACTTGGTTTTCGGATATAAATAGTTTGAATGCTATCTTTGCTTCTTTGGGTACTGCTAATGGTTTGACAAAAAATCCTAAAATTGATGATAAAGACATTCGTGAGTGTAGTAGTAACCTTGATGATGATAATAACCTGGAAAATCTTTCAATTGATGATGTTGGATCTAGCGGATACAACGGATACAGCGGATACAACGGATACAACGGATACAACGATGCTTCATCTATCCATCAAGAAATTTTTGATAAAACTTCATTATCATCTTTTGAGTTCCTAGAAACTTCAAAATCTGCCTCTACAACTACTCCTCCTCCTTCTTTGTCTTGTCAACCTAAAGAATTAGCAAAACTTGATATTATCCAATGTCAATTTGAATATTTTGGTGGTAAATCTTCTACCGTTATAAATTCAAACTATATTGGTGATTTGGCTTTTTTATACAGAATTGGTGATACTATTCAATCTCAAGGTGGTGGCGAAATTTCTTTTTGTTTAAATGGAATGTCCGACGAAATTTCTATTCCATTTAATCAATTGACCGGATTCAAGATCACTAATGATGGGAAAATTAATTTAAGACTTAAACCGAATTTTCAAAGAAGTGTTAAGCATCTTGATTGATTATTTATTTGGTTTATTTGTTTATTTAATCTTCCCTTTTATTCATGTATATATTATTATTATGACTATTACTATTGTTTCTTTAAAAATTAGTATCGTCATCATCTTGGTGGTTATCCCTATCTTTTAGAACCAACTATTTCTACTTCGGATCCGACTAATGGAAAACTTCATGCTTTACATTCTCTTCTGTTGGCTCCTGACCGTTCCGGAAAACTTTCTATATTGACCGATATTGAAATTGCAATTGAAAAATTATGGTTCAGAAGACATGATGTTCATAACGAACTTGTTAAAGATAGTCAAAAAGTATTGGATTTTATTAATATCTTGAATTACTTGAATTATTTTAATTACTTTAATTAATTTATTTTTTATCTAATCTTATCTAAATCTTTCTTTACTTTTCTATTTACTATTTATTTCTTATTACAGAAAATGTATCTGACTTGCGTGTTTCCAACTGAACGCAGAGCACTCGCCTACCCAATTGATTCTCCATATCACAGATTATTATTAGATCTTGAAACTAGATTTAATTTACCTGCTAGTAATATTAATCTTAGATTTAAGAATAATCGTGGTGATATGATTGGATTAAAAGATGAAGAAACTTGGAGATTAGCGAAAAGTGATGCTTATAGTAAAAATTTAATTAGATTAACGATTTATATTTGGTGAATAGATTTGGTGAATTTTCATTAATTATTACAGTATTAATATCTTTTAAAATTCCTGGTGAAAATAGATTAATTTTATGTTTCGTTCTTGATTTATTTTATTTATTTTCTTGTTACATAACATACACTACACACTACATACATGCTTTATATATTCGTAAAGAAAACAATTAAAAATATTATCTTTTGCAAATTACAGAAATAAAACAATTAAAAAAACTCTCTTTTGCAAATTACAGAACTAATCTTATATATCTTTTACTTTTTACAATTCGAAAATGGCTCGATAATTTTGTTTTTAAATGAATGCTACAAACTATAGGATTTATTTAAAATCAACCGTTCTCAAAATATGGCCATTAAAATAGTGGCAAATGTTATTAAATTAACACAAAAATGAAAATTAAATATTCATAAAATTTAATGAATTAGTTTAATAGATACTTGGTTTAACAAATGTTTTTTTATACTCACGTATTTATTAAATATTCATTAACTGCTTATTTCAAATGTCTAAAGTAATATAAGTTTTAATACTCACGCACTAAGTTAGTACAAATAAAATGAAATGAACTAAGTATTTAAACAGTTACGTATTAACTCAAATAGCTTTCTTAAATAATTGAATTAATAGATATTACATATTGAATAGGTTATTTTAAGTATAGGACGTTTTTAATAATTATTTATTTTAATTAAATAAATTTACTTGGACTAACCAAAATTTATAATACAGTAAAATTAAGTAGCGAATATTCATAAACTTTTATTTTATAGTAATAAATGTTTATGTTTGCATACAAAATAATTTTTTGACCAATATCGGATATTAAAAAAAATTGACATTTTTTTTTTGACCAGACCAGACCTAAATCATTGCCTTTAAATAGAGACTTATTTGACTTAGATTAATTGGGTTTAATAAAAAATCTAACCGACTCGAACTTCTTGAATTTTTTGGATTGGGTTAAAAAACGCTGACCTATTGTTGAGTAAATACCCCGAAAGTTATTTACCCACCAATTTCATTTCCCCGGCACATTGTTTCGATAAGACATATAGTTGGCATTACTTTATTCTTTGTGTAAATCTAGATCAAGTGAAAACGAAATCAAATAGTTTAAAATTTATATGCGCAGATGAATTTTTTTTTAGATTTTTTTAGAAAATATAATTGATTAACTCACGTTCGCAAATCAACATTGCTAATAGTATTGGGTGTGTTTAATGTTGTTAGACAAAACCCTTTTGCAAAATGACAAAAGACTAAACCTATCAACTCAAGTGACAAAACCTCTGACGAAACCTGCAAAACCTGCGAAGCCTGTGAAACCTCTATAAAAACTAAATGGCGAAATTTCAAAAATTAAAGCCCCCTATAAAGAATAAAGACTCTAGTAAACGATAAAGCCTTAAAGGCTATGTTATTGCTTGATGTAAAGTTATTATTTTAGAATAATCTTTGATTAAAAACTTATCATTGTTAAGATTTAGATGAAAGCCATTGTTTTTGTATAGTTTTTAATTAAAAGCAATGCTATATTTTAAATACAGAATTATAATTTTTTGAATAGTCTTTGACTAAAAACTGTATTATTGCTTAGATACAATGCCATTACTTTTCGTATAATCACCAATTAAAGACTATGTTATAGCTTGAATGCGATGTTATAAGTAGAATTTGGAACCAGTTTTATTTTTCATATTATGTCCCCGTCAATGATTATCATGTAACATAAATCATTGTAACTTTTTTTGAAGAATACGTCGACTAATTAATACTTACTAATACTTTTAGCATTAGACATGTTTTTCTTTGAGTTTTATACTTCCTCTCTATACTAAAAACATACTTTGTACTTTATTTTATGTGGAATAACAACTATTACAAAACCTGTAATTTTCAACTTAAATGTCAAGATTTTTTTTAACTACCACAAATTAACTCACATTTAGCCTTGGTAATAATAGCAAATGAAGAGCTTTACAAATTGATTATTGGAGTAAAGATGGTTTACTTGAGTTTATTATGAAATCCTTTTTTTTAATATAATATAATAATGCCGTTTTGAAATTATTGCTGTTATTTTTTATACTGCTTCTATTAGACAATCAAATAAACTATTTTTTTTATTTAAAAAAAATAACAAAAATTTTAAACCATATTAATATTTGTGAATTTTAGTTTATAATAGATGAACTACCAAATCTGTGTGAAAGTAGTGCTAGAGACGAATTTCAATTTGCATTTTAGTAGCAATTTAATTCTCTTTACTAGGGATTGGACTCAGGTAGAAATTGTTACTATATGATTACCCGAAATATATAATAACTTAATCAGATAACTTGGGTAATTTAATAATACCCAGATAGAGATTTCTTAACAGGCCCAATCTCTATTCCTTACTTTGAAAATGTTTGCACTAGTTATTGTTTCAGTACTGCTTGATTCTTTTTTTAGTTCAGTCTGGTAATTGTGTTTGTATATTTGTAACTTTGATTTTAGTTAATTTTTTTTTCACCTTCTACAATTGAGCTAATATATTTTCTCTTTTTTTGTAGTAGTGTGATACTGTTTTGGAACTTCAGAAGATGATGATATTTGGTGTATTTTTGAAATATCTGAAACAATTGGTGCCTGTGGCATATTTATTTTGTTTTTTGTTTTTTATTAAATTGAGAATAAGTATAATATTTTATGTTTCATGCACTACATCCAGAAGTATTATGATGTACAGTTTTGTATACATCTTGATTAAGTATTTGTAAAAAATGTGATTTACCAGACTTATAGAAAGAAAGGATATTCTTAATACTATTTTTGCTAATATCTGGTGCATCTTCAAATAGGTAATGTGTTGCAGGATGTTGACAGTCAAATGTGGATAATAATTTTGTATTCAGTGATCAAAATAAATCTTTGTGTAATTTGATTACATGAGAATTTTGGCTTACTACAACATCATCAATATATTCTTCAAGAAGTGTTGATAACTAATTTTTCTTACTTTAGGCTGTTTTTATTTTTGATATTATTGTCTATTGATTAGCAAGATTTCTAGTAATATTTTGCTTGATGTACTTCACATCATATATTTCAAGTGCTTCATCAAAAGCTAAGTAATGTCTTTCACTTATAAGATTTACTGAATACACTATTTGCAAAAATTTTTGTAGTTGTGGATCATTGTAAACTTGAACCAAAAATGTGTTACAGAACTTACATATTTAAATTTTCCAGTTACAGAAAAGAAAGAAGTAAAAACAGCCAAAGTTGTAAACTGGATTTCATAGTTTCTTCTTCTAATTTTGATTTTATGATCTATATTTAATATTACAACATTTGGTGAAAGAATGTAAAAATCTAAGAGTGTTCTATAGTTGATTTTTGAATGTATATATCTTTTATATTAAATTCATTAATAAATATTTCTAATATTATATTAAAAATATTTTTATACATTGTTAAAAGGTTATCAGTTCTTCAAAAAATGACAGTTTGATAGATTTATAGTCTTCTATTAGATGATATAATGGAGTAGAAAGAGTGAATTGAAATACTATCTGTAATGTTACATATGAAGTTTGTCATATAATATCAAAAATATTATTAATCGTATAATATCAAAAATGTTACTATATAAGAATATAGAAACTTTAAGTTGATATTGTCAATTACTATCAAATTTTAACTATTTAGACCATCAATTAAAATATTACTAGAGTCTGCATGATATATTCTTGATTTTTCAAGTCAATCTTCATGTCGCTTAGTATATAATATTATATCTGATGAATGAAGAATTTCTTGTAGATGTAGTGCAATTTTGGTTTTTGACACAACAATGATATAATACTTGAAAGCCAAATTTTGGCCTTGGAAGAAGCGATTGTAAATAGTATAGAGGTTAAAAAGTAGTAGTTTTTGATATTTGATTTATATTAAGTAATTTTAAAGCAAGTTTACATTAATATCTCTTAGTATTAATAATAGCTTGCTTATATTCTTGTAATACTATAAGAAGTGCCTAAAAAAAGCTACAAATAACAGTGCTTAAAGCATTAAAATAAATTTCAAATAAACTTAGATTTTCTAACTGGTTTTTATTTTTTTTAATTTCAAAATGCAAATATAGGATTTCTTTTTATAATTTTTTTTCTATTATTAAAGCTTTTAGGAGTTATTTGAGGTTTTTCTTTGCTAATCTATCTAATTTTATATTTTATATTTTCATTGTTACTTTAATAAGTAATTTACTTGAAGGTTTATCCATTTCCTTGTCCATAGTTATTTCATTAAAAATAATTAATAATATTTTAGGTAGAAGTTTTTCTTGTAGTTTTTGATTTTCTTATTTTAATATTAATGTTATCTATTTTCTGATAAGTTTTAAAATATTACATATATCATTATTATGCTTCTCAAGATCAGACACAATTCAAGTTTTTTCTTTACTTTGTCTTTCATAAAGATGTCATCATATTGTTAAAAACTTTTTGAATAGACATATTGTGTATGATATTCTGAAATTGATTTTCTTGAAATTGGTTCCTCAAAAACACAGAGCATTTAAAAACACTAATACAAGGTACTTGAATGTTTTGTTCATTAACACTCCAAGAATGCTATGTATAGCAGTTCTATAGTTAAAAAGCATTTTTTTATTACAAAAAAAAAACAGATACAGAAATAAACAATGCTTTGTTCAATAGAGCATAATTGTTTTATATCTTATTTATGAAGCTAATTCTGATTATATTAAAAATAATTATAGTATACACCAAGTTAAAAAAGATTATCATTAATATTTTTAACTGCATATACATCTATCTCTAATATTCCTATCATCTGTTGCAATTACTATAGATTTGTTGTATCATTATAGCATTTTATCTCACTTTTGCTAATATCAATAATTATATATAGGATTAAACTTATATTTTGTGTGGAGGTCTTTTCGATTGCTACCTCTCTTTCATTATACATTGTTAGGATCGATT